TGCGATTTGTATCCTGATACAATGTTATATTCCCTTTTCTGCAACTTAATAAAATATTCTTATTACAATCCTACACGCATGCCTATAGCTATTTTGGGTTCCTCTTGACATGGATGCACAGGATTTTGCCAACAAAGTTTCTTATTGTGTTTATAGCATTTTATATTTTATTATATTTATTTTTTATTGATGCACCTCACCGTGGGCTTATTGAGTTTGCCTATTTGAATTTACTTGGTGGTGGATTTTGAATATAGAATCTTGATGGAAGTTGATATTTTCACCACCTTGTGAACTTTCATCACATTGCTTGTAGTAACAGTGTTATTGATTTGGTCATGCATAAAAGAATGTTCATTTATGTTCCATATGAAATGGCAAATTACCTTGACATGATTCTAGACCAACCAAGACATTGTTGCACAAATTGTATCTGCTAGCATTGCTGGTGATATGGTTCTCGCGGCTGCTTATGCACATGAGCTGCCTCATTATGGCCTTGAAGTTGGGCTCACAAATTATGCTGCTGGTATGTTTGTTACCTAGGCCATTTTGTCGGTTTTTTCCGCATTTTAAATTTTCTCACACTTGTTATTTTGAACTAGCTTACTGCACTGGACTTCTGTTGGCTCGCCGAGTTCTTAAAACCCTTGAAATGGATGAAGAGTATGAAGGAAATGTTGAGGTAACTATTTTCTCTCTTCATCAGTGATTGCTTGCTGGGATATATTCTTGTATGCTTGTCAGTTATGTAGAAACTCACCTGGAGTTCCATGCAGGCTACTGGAGAAGATTTCTCCGTTGAACCTGCTGAAAGCCGGAGGCCTTTCCGTGCACTCTTGGATGTTGGCCTTATACGTACTACAACTGGCAACCGTATTTTTGGTGCCCTCAAGGTAGCAATCGAGCTCTTTATTTAGTCCTTCTTTTGGCTCCATTCAAATTAGTTTTTGGAGAAAAATGTATTTTGGAATAGTGAATTTTTGGAAAATATGTGCTTAAAAAATATGGAAAGTTCGTAGTTTACGTGTCATATTATTTTATTGAAGAATGCGTGGTAGAAAAGAAGGAAAAAAAATGCATTTTGAAATAAAATTGAGCCCAAACAAGGGCTTATTGACATTTGGAGTTAAAAGTTAATAATAGAACTCTGAATTGAATAATTGCTTTGGTTCTAGGCCTAAAAATCACACTATTTCGTCAACTCCCGTTCAATTCGTGTCTCTTAATTTAGCAATTATAAGACTTAACTCATTATTATTATTATTAAGCCCTCGTTTGGTAAAGATTAAAATCAGATTTTTAGTAGATTTTGATAAAAATTGATGAATTGTGTGGTTGAAAAGTTCCGGGTTCCATGAAATGTATGATTAAAATTAATTGTTGACTTTGACTTAAAATTTTAGTGGGATTTTAATCCAAACCAAACAGGGGCTAACTATTATTGTTTCATTTTAATATAACTAATTAAAATATATCTGCTTGTTTTATATGTTCTAGTTGAACATAACTGTGCTTGCTCTTATAGACTTGGATTCTCTTGGAATTGGATAATATGATTCTTGATTCCTCAGAAGTTGTTTTGTATGTTGATTTGTAGGGAGCATTGGATGGTGGTCTTGACATCCCACACAGCGACAAAAGATTTGCTGGATACAACAAGGAGAGCAAGCAACTTGATCCCGAGGTTCATCGTAAGTATGTCTATGGAGGTCATGTAGCTGCATACATGAGGGTGAGTCCTTGTTTTTATATGTTCTCAGCGTTTTGCTACAAAATTTGTACATTTAATCCAAGCTTGATGTGTATCTGTTAACACTCAGTATGTAAAGTTCCATTTAGTGTTTCCTTCTAGGTCCTCACTTGTATGTAGCAAGGCTAATTTGTTACTCTCTTAATATGCAGACTTTGGAGGAAGACGAGCCCGAGAAATACCAGTCTCACTTTAGTGAGTACATTAAGAGGGGTCTCAATGCAGATGAGTTAGAGGAGATCTACAAGAAGGTCCATGCAGCCATTCGCGCTGATCCCACCCAAAAGAAATCTGAAAAGCAGCCACCAAAGGAACACAAGAGGTAAGGCCTTTTCTGTGGGCATGTTCTATTATTCTGTGATGAAATATGGGTTACTGGCTTTGCCAAGGAAACATGTATTCTTGAACCAATTGTTTGGTGCCATGCTATATGGTTTTGTGTTATTTAGTTGATCATATCCTCGATTACTAACTTCAGTTTGTTTTTGGTATTCTTTTGCAGGTACAACCTCAAAAAGCTGACTTACGAGGAAAGAAAAGCTAAGTTGATAGAGCGGTTGAATGCTTTGAATGCAGCTGCTGGGGATGATGATGAGGAAGATGATGACTGAACAACATAATTAAGCATTCAAATCCTAGCCATCACCTTTTGTTTTCTAATGGAAATTTCAATTTTAAATGTCAGAAAAATGAGAAACTTGTATTCGTTTAAATGTTTTATCCAGCCGAACTTCTTATCATTTTATGTAGCTTTACTTTTATAAAGAACTGTCATCTCGTGTGATGAATCTGATGTTGAAGGCACTATCTGAATGTTTATGTTGTTTGGACAAGAATGGTCCTACTTTTGTTATTTTGCTCAAATTTTGTTGGGATTTGAACTTTAGGACATAAGCAGAATCAGCACTGCTTTTTATCTTGGGTGAATTTGTTTCTTTTCTTGTATTTGTGGATGACGCTTATTACGCTTTGTGAACGGGTGGTTTCATATTTTTTAAAATCTATGTTCAATCTCCTATCATCATGAAGATTATCAATTTTATTTAACCCCTTGTTTGGCCTTAATTATCTAAAACTTATTTACAATTACATATTTAATGGGATTCACAATTTTTATAAACGTTTTTGTCATTTATTTTTATCAAATTTTATTAAAAATTTAATTTTTAACTAAATCAGACTGTTAATTATATTAATATCCTCGCAATGCTCAGAGCTCATTCATGTGGAAACTAAAGCGAGTTATTTATCGAAGATTCAATACGTCATGGTATTAGTTATTTTGTTGAACAAATTTGTCCTTCGAGCATTGGAACTTTCAGGTTGAAGAGATTTTGAATTTTGCCAATGTCGTCGGGGAAAATAAAGGTGGAAGAAATATGATTGTTGTGCTGCTAGACATATCTCAAGCAAGATTTGTGATCTCTCATATTCCAAGCTACAAAAAACCTCTTAGAGCCCGTTTGATTGCAAGAATGGAATTTGGGCGGAAAGAAAATGAATTCTATGAAATTGAATTGTTTAGAACTTATTTAACCGAGAATTGTCAATTAATTGTACTTGATTGGTATAATTTT